TTCTGCTCTTGCAGTTACTGGTGGGTGAGGAAAACTTCCCCTTTGGTGCCTGCAAATTCATTTTGGGACATGGCTTTACAACAATTTCAGTTTATTAGTATCATCCCGCTGTTTTAGTATCCTTCTATTTAGATATCCTTTACTGTAACTGTTATTGATCAGTCTGTATTGGTTGTTTATTACTCAGCCCCTGAGTGTGTGAATCATATGCTTATTTTTAATGTTTCAAGTCTATTGTCAAACCCAATAAACATATTGAAATAAAAAAGGCCAATCTTACAACAGGGACATCTGCTCCAGCAGCAGCTGTCTAAGGGGGGATTTTCCTTACTTTTCATCGTATTTTCAGGAAAGGAAGTCGATGGAAATCTCCCCAGTAGCACACAGATGGTAGAAAAAAACTGAGAGGGGTTTGAATAATTTCCTATGCCATAAAAACTGAAAAAAAAAGTTTGGGCTTTTGGATGTACTTCTTTTTTGTTTTGAACATAAGATAAACTAAAAAGCTATTTTATGTTTGCTGATTCAGTGCCTATAACATGAATGTTTAACTTGGATTTATTGTAGTTTTGGTTAAAACTTTGGATAACACTATAGAGTTATAGTGTTACTTTAGATAACATGATAACACTATAAATCACTATACACTATAAAAGTGATGAGTGATGCTTAATTGACAGTGTTCTGAAAACACACTTTTATAATTCTCTAACTAGATGGCAAAGATATTTTTACCATCCCAGCATGTCCTCTTCATGTTCATTCCTGACCGCAAAGTATACCTGCAGGTGCACTGCACAGATTAATTCAAGTAGAACTCCCTGCTTCACCATTAAGATCCCTATACTACTGGGTCCCCACAAGTCAGGTGCAATGCTTTGGCCAATCATAGCACACTTGCACAGAGCTAGCGGTGATGTCACCACTAGCTCTGCTCAATTGTTTACATCTGACCGGCAAATGTCAGATGTGGCGAGTCCTCGGTGGGTATGGAAGGGTCTGCGGGTGGCGTTTTTTTTTTTTATTTCAGCATCATCCTGACAACACTGGATGCCGTGATTGATGATGGATTACATCGATGTGTTTTTTTTGCAAAGCAGGACTTGTCAAAGACTGTCTACTGTCATTTTTTAAACTATACTTTTTTTTTTTTTTGTGACCCCCATTACCATGTACATTACCATGTATTACCATGTACCCCATACTCATTCACATAGTGGGGCCAGGATCTGCGGGTCCCCTTGTTAAAGGGAGCTTCAAGGTTCCGATAAGCTCCCTGACTGCAGACCCCACAATCACAGACCAGAATTATGGGGAAGAGCCCCATGTCCCCATCAACATGGGGACAAGGTGCTTTGGGGAGGGAACCCCCCTGCCCCAATACGACCCACCATGTTAAGGGCATGTGGCCTGGTATAGTTCAGGAGGGGGGTGCTTGCTCGCCCCCCCCCCTTTCCTGACTTTCCAGGCTGCATGCTCGGATACGAGTCCGGTATTGATTTGGGGGGAACCCCATGACATTTAAAAAAAAATTAACATGAGGGGTTCCCCTCAAAATCCATACCAGACCCAAAGGGCTTGGTATGAATGGGGGAAGGACCCTTTGCTGTTTTTCTGCTAAATTTTTAATTGCCAGCAATTCTTTTTATATTCAACTGTCAGTGGAGAAACCCACTGACAGCTGAAACATTACCGCATGTTTCCACTACTAAAATACCACATGACTTAATAACTTATGCGGTATTTTAGTAGCATTTTTTTTGGAATGCCATCTTGTTTTTGGAAAAATGCTGTACGGTATCTTAGTGAATACCCGGATGCAGTAAGATACCGCTTAGTGACTTGTCCCCTGAGTTTGAACCTTCACTAGGTTCGAATGTTCGACAGTGTACCGAACATCACAATTTACCACTTTTAAACCAAACACAAGAAATGCATTGATAAAAGTTTTATTATTTTTGATGCTGCCTAGTATTACTTATCACAATGGTTGCCGTTTTCTCTTTGCTAATTAAAAATTGCAGTTTATACTTCCTTACTCCTTTTCTGGATTGCCAACACCATGCCTAAAAGGGAAACCCAAGCCTTTATTGTCTATAACTCAGGAACTCTGCATATCAGGGATTTCCATACTAGAAACAAGACTGTATTTGGTCCGTGGATTTATTCAGGGCGCTGCTAGTTTTTACTTTTGCACTTATGTGCCTATTGCATTAATGGTGTTGAAAGTACCATTCTGCACGTCAAGCTGTCACAGCTGGGTGCTCACACTGAAGACACCGGGGCCGGGGAGAGAAGATGGCCGGTGAGGACACGGCTGGACCGAGGGACAGGTAAGTGACTGTATTTTAAAAGTCAGCAGCTACAGTTTTTGCAGCTGCTGACTTTTATTTTTTTTTTCAGCTGGAACTCCGCTTTAAGGACTGGTCACTGTTTCCTGGATACAAGACTGAATGGAAAATGTGTGTTTCCTGGCTGTGCAGGACTATAAGGGGACCCAAATCTCTTGCAACACCTAAGGGAGTAGTGCTACATCATAATAAAAGTATAGAATCAAAGCTCTTAAATGTATATTTCTTTATATTATTTAAAAGCAGTTGCTTACAAATATTTTCATATACTTTAATTGGTTGTGTCACCAAGACCTGGTTGGGTGTCCTGTTATAAGATGTGCAGGGCTTCAAGCCAGTACCTGTTATCACAAATAATATACAGGATAAAACTATGTTTTAATGCAAAAAATAACCCAATAGTACTTTAAAAGGTACTATGTGTTAATTTTTTCTAGCAATGTCAACCCACCAGAACAAAACCATGACCTCAGCTTTCATAATTTGCATATTTACGAAGGCCATACACTATAGTTTGGATGTACTCCACCTAGTTACAAACACCCTATTCTGCATACTGCTTAGTATTGTCATATTTCAAATTCCTACATTTTTAACATTGTGTGCAACATCAATTTTATTTTACACATTTATACTGTACATGAAAAACCCACTCCCTTCATTTAATTGATCTAACCTTCTTTTCAATGACGCACAAAATGTTATGAATTATTTTATGGTATGACATGACACATTCCCACTGGGAACAAATTGGGCATTGAATCATTATAGAGCATTCGGGGGCTTCAGAGAGTCAATAAACATAGGTATGGATTTGGTGGGGGAATTGAAGGGTAGTGTTGGAGAGGCTAAAAGTAGTTTTAGCAAATGCATGGGTATACAGTTGATCTGGGGGGTTAGGTAGGAGAGCTTGACCAAATCTGATTGTCTGAAATTGGATAATTTCCAGAGGGAGGTGTGGATTTTGGAGCATTTGGTGGGGCTGTACCTTAAAATGGTATTAAACTCAAAAACAAAAATGTAATATATTGCAGCTTACTAATTATTTTTTTTTAAGGCTTTTTGTCTTTTTTTTTTACCTGGTGATCTGGCCAGCAAAACACCTCCTGTATTAGAGTGCCTCCACTCTGGATGAAGGAGCACAGGGGGCACAGCAGACAGCAGCATTGCCAGTTTGGGGGAGGGTAGTGTTAAATGTATTAGCAGATTTAAATCCAATAACAAACTGAAGCCATACTCCAGCTCACATTTTATAATCAGTTATAGCAAACAGTTGTTTTTATTTTGGGATAAAAGTTTTACATGAATAAATAAAAGCCTATCAGTGCAAACACCTCTGCCAGTGTAAAAAAAAAATTCTCATCCCTGCAAACTGATATATCTGTAAAAGAGCTTACTAGCCAGATCACCAGATGAAAACAGAAAAAAGGAAGCCTAAAAAATGAAAACTAATGCAGCCATCATATCTAAGAATTGGTAAGCTGCTATAATATTTTGCTTTTGGGTTTTATACTACTTTAAGTACTTCTGGGTAAATAAACCTCTTTAGTGTATAGCTTAATTGCCCTTCCCTTTTGCAGTTGTAAATATTGTCGTGCCATGTTAAAAAAGCTAAGTAAGCTAAGTAAGAAATGCATGGATTCACAGACACTGCCTTCATACCTTTCAGAAATATTTTTAAGTATAGACACATCTTTATCAATAGCCTTAGGACTGTGGAGAGCAAGAGGCATCTCTGATACAAACTCTTTCCAGTTGTTCTGCCCATATTGTTGAAAATAATGTATGTAATGGATTATGCTGCAAGAATTGGTAAACTGCTATAATATTTTGCTTTTGGGTTTTATACTACTTTAAGTACTTCTGTGATGTTGCTGCCATCTATTGGTCAGAGTTATAGTTATGCCTAGTTATATCAGGGTTTGTCAGGAAGTGGTAATTTTCACATAGAGGCCATAGATAACCTCTAACCTGGAACTTCCTATCCTCCAATTCATGACTGCTTCTGAAACTAGCAAGTAGCATACAGTGGAGCTCCAAGCTATTCGTGGACTTATGGTGGAATTGTCCGTGAGTACACTCACTGATGGGATGAAGCTGTTGTATAATTTTTAATGTACTGACACATATGTTTTGTTTGTGCTTATGTTGTAGTTTTACAAAGTTATTCAGAACAAAGAATACATACAGATCTGATGTCTCACGTTTCCTGACTTCTGAATTATTGTTAGACTGTCTGACTAGTGTTATACAACAGTTCAATAACACGAAGCAGAACACCAGTGATTCTGCCTGTGCAGACCTGGTTGGACAACCTGCTTTTTCATTGGAATTGTGGGCTGAAGGTTTTCAGTGTCTTGCTTCTGGCCCTACCACCTACATTATTACTGTTTAACAAAATAAAGAGATAGTAAAGTAATCCTAGTAAAATCATGAATTTGTCATCTAATATATAACTAGATAATTCAAAACCTGGCATGTTATGTTTAAGACATACCGTATTTTTTGTTCCATAAGACGCACCTGACCATAAGACGCACCTAGGTTTTAGAGGAGAAAAACAAGAAAAAAAATATTCTGAACCAATGGACTGCAGACACAGTACAGGAGATGACCAGAGACTGCGGACATACTACTGTGTGGACACAGTACAGGAGATGACCAGTAACTGTGGACATACTACAGGAGATGACCAGAGACTGCGGACACGGTACAGGAGATGGTCAGAAACTGCAGACATAGTACAGGAGATGACCAGAGACTGCGGACATAGTACAGGAGATGGTCAGAGACTGCGGACATAGTACAGATGGTCAGACTGCGGACACAGTACAGGAGATGACCAGAGACTGCGGACATACTACTGTGTGGACACAGTACAGGAGATGACCAGTAACTGTGGACATACTACAGGAGATGACCAGAGACTGCGGACACGGTACAGGAGATGGTCAGAAACTGCAGACATAGTACAGGAGATGACCAGAGACTGCGGACATAGTACAGGAGATGGTCAGAGACTGCGGACACAGTACAGGAGATGGTCAGAGACTGCAGAGACTGTGGACACAGTACAGGAGATGGTCAGAGACTGCGAACACAGTTCAGGAGATGGTCAGAGACTGCGGAAACAGTACAGGAGATGACCAGAGACTGCAGATACAGTACAGGAGATGACCAGAGACTGCAGATACAGTACAGGAAATGACCAGAGACTGCAGATACAGTACAGGAGATGACCAGAGACTGCAGACACAGTACAGATGACCAGAGACTGCGGACACAGTACAGATGACCAGAGACTGCGGACAGTACAGGGGATGACCAAGAGACTGCGGAGAGTACAGGGGATGACCAAGAGACTGCAGACAGTACAGGGGATGACCAGAGACTGCAGATAGTACAGGGGATGAACAGAGACTGCAGACAGTACAGGAGATGACAAGAGACTGCAGACAGTACAGGGGATGAACAGAGACTGCAGACAGTACAGGAGATACAAGAGACTGCAGACAGTACAGGAGATGGCCAGAGACTGCAGACAGTACAGGAGATGACCAGAGACTGCAAACAGTACAGGAGATGACCAGAGACTGCAGACCTTTTGGGAGGGAGGGGGAGCGGTTACCTGAATTTGACAGGTACCCGCTCTCACTTCCGTGGAGTTGCCCTCCCTTTAGTGCGAGCACCCGGCTGTGACAGCCGGGTGTCCACTGCGCATGCGCAAGAAGCGATGCGCTTTGTGAATGGCCCGGCATCTTCTGGGACCTGTCATGTGTCCCAGAAGATGCCGGACCATTCACAAAGTGCAGCGCTTCTCGCACATGCGCAGTGGGCACCCAGCTGTCACAGCCGGGTGCCCACACTAAAGTTGCTGGCGCGGGAAGACCGCACAGCGCTGGACCGAGGAACAGGTAAGGTCTTGTTGCAGAGAAGAGCTGGGCGGCCAGCCCGATATTCTGACACGGTGGCGATAATACCGGAGTGGCTGCTCCATATTCGCTCCGTAAGACGCACTAACATTTTCCCCCCTTTTTTGGGGGGAAAAAGTGCGTTTTGTGGAGCGAAAAATACGGTACTTTTAATTTAAATTAGAGGATTTCTCACATGGATTGCATTATATAACTTACAGAATAAAGGCATATAGCTTTCCCTGTAACTGAAAACAAAGAAATGTAGAAGCAACAGAAAATTGCTGTAATACATGCATCACTCTAGGGTTGAAACAACTAATTGACGTAATTGATTATGAAAATAGTTGTCAACTATTATCATAATTGATTAGTTGGTCAGCCAATTAATTGGCCTGCATACAGAATGCATTATTTGTTTACATATCAGAAAATAGAGTGCAGCACAGTATACTTTTCCTACATCTCAATATACACAGTGCAGCACACATAAAGCTTAGTACACTGTCCAAACATGTCAGTAACTTGTGAATGAGTGAGGAGCAATGTCTCGTGAAACAAGTAGCCTTGAGCAAGAGAAGGAAGTCATTTAAAGTGATTCTAAATGGAGAAGATTATTTACCTTGCTGTAGGGGCACTCTATTATACTTTGCGGCTTGCTATAGGGGCATTCTGAAGGCAGGAGGAACCAAAAAAAAAAGGAAGTGTGGGGCTGCTCTGTATAAAGCCATTAAAGAGCAGGTATGTAAGACAGGTTTGTAGTTTAAAAAAAAAAGTTTACAATCACCTTAAGGGCTCTGTGCAGGGAAGATCAGCATCTGACCCCAGAGAAGCTGAAGGCTGATAGACTGGAGGTAATATAAGGCATTACAATTAAATTTAGCACACAATTTTACCAGTGTTGTCCATTATCTTTAAAATTATTTTATCCATGAAAAAAGTCTCAGCCTTAAGTACCACTTTAATATAAAGAGTTTATACCACCTCCACCCGTCATATAGCTTAAAATACCCTGTATAGTCAATCTAAGGGTATACAGCCCCGGCCAAAAGTTTTGAGAATGACACAAATATTATTTTCACAAAGTCTGCTGCCTCAGGTGAGTACTACCATCAGTCTTGTGTCATGCCAACAGTAATACATCCTTAGACCCTTCATGTGTGGGGCTGCTTCTCAGCCAAGGGAGTAGGCTCACTCAAAATATGAATATAGAATATAGAATAAATATAGAATTGTACAAAAAACATCTTTTGAGAGCAACTTCTCCCAACCATTCAAGAACAGTTTGGTGATGAAAAATGCCTTTTTCCAGCATGATGGAGCACCTTGCCATAAGGCAGTGTTTCTCAACTCCTGTCCTCATGGACCCCCAACAGGTCATGTTTTCAGGATTTCCCTCAGATGAAACAGCTGTGGTAATTACTAAGGCAGTGAAACTGATCAAATCACCTGTGCAAAATAATGGAAATCCTGAAAACATTACCTGTTGGGGGTCCATGAGGACTGGAATTGAGAAACACTGCCATAAGGCAAAAGTGATAACTAAGTGGTGTGGGGAACAAAACATTGAAATTTTGGGTCCATGGCCAGGAAATTCCCCAGACCTTAATCCCATTGAGAACCTGTGGTCAATCTTCAAGAGGTGGGTGAACAAAAAAAACCCCAAAATTCTGACAAACTCCAAGCATTGATTATGCAAGAAGGGGTTGCTATCAGTCAGGATGTGGCCCAGAAGTTGATTGACAGCATGCTACGTCAAATTGCAGAAGTCTTGAAAAAAAAGGGTCAACTCTGGAAATATTGACTTTTTGCATACATAATGTAATTGTCAATAAACAACCTTTGACACTTATGAAATGCTCGTAATTATACTTCAGTATACCATAGTAACATCTGACAAAAAGATCTAACAACACTCAAGCAGCAGACTTTGTGAAAATTAATATTTGTCATTCTCAAAACTTTTGGGCACAGCTGATATATATATATATATATATATATATATATATATATATATATAGTATATATATATTATTACTTTCACTGTTTTACAGTATAAATTAATCCCTTGTAGTAGTGATTATCTGCTCTTTTGGTTTTTTTTACTCTATCATGACAGGTGATACAAAAAGCAAGCTGCTGCTACTACAGTAAGTGTCTTATGCTGGCCATACACGTATTAATTTCCAGATGAGAATATTCATATAGAAATTCTTTGTACATTCATTGAACGGATAAATGTTGTTTGAAAATTTCACTTGCTTTTAACATTCAATTTTAAAATTAATGTAATTTCAGAATAAAAAGCCACATGCACTGTCCGAAACTTCGTTTGATCGAGAAGAGTTTTCTATTCTGCTCCTTCGTATTTTCCCATCACATCGATTTAACCCCACTAATGAATAGCATATCAAACAAATTTTCTTAAAAGAAACATTTTCTAAGGAAATATTTGTTTGTGTATGGCCAGCAAAAGTGACAGCAGGCTCAGGTACCTTGTATCAAGCTACCTGTCTATGATAAAGGAGTCTGTCATGCAGAATATTATAATACAATTCTGTATGAAAATCTGCAAAATAGCATTTTACGTCTTTTTATTTTTTTTTCTTTCAAAAAAAATTTTGATCTTTGAGTCTGATGATATGCACCAGATTCACTCTCTAATAATATATACATCTCTTCTGTCTGTTATTCTCAGAGTAGATTATATATTTTGTTCCCTAACCATATACACTATATTGCCAAAAGTATTGGGATGCCTTCCTTTACACGCACATGAATGTTAATGGAATCTCAGTCTTAGTCCGTAGGGTTCTTTATTGAGTTGGCCCACCCTTTGCAGCTATAACAGCTTCAACTCTTCTGGGAAGGCTGTCCACAAGGTTTAGGAGTGTGTCTATGGGAATGTTTGACAATTTTTCCAGAAGTGCATTTGTGAGGTCAGGCACTGATGTCAGATGAGAAGGTCTAGCTCGCAGTCTCTAATCTACAGTTGCAAGAAAAAGTATGTGAACCCCTTGGGATTACGTGGAGTTTTGCATGAATTGGGCATAAAATGTGCTCTGAACGTCATCTAAGTCACAATAGAAGAACACAGTCTGCTGAACATAATACTACACAAACATTAGATGTTGCCATGGTTTAATTGCACATAACATGTAAACAGTCACAGTGCAGGGAGGAAAAAGTATGTGAACCTTTGGACTTAATAACTGGTTGACCCTCCTTTGGCAGCAATACCCTCAACCAAACGTTTCCTGTAGTTGCAGATCAGACTTGCACAACGATCTGGAGTAATTTTGGACCACTCCTCTTCACAAAACTGTTAAAGTGTAGCAATATTCTTGGGATGTCTGGTGTGAATCGCTCTCTTAAGGTCATGCCACAGCATTTCAATCGCGTTGAGGTCAGGACTCTGACTGGGCCACTCCAAAAGGCGTATTCTGTGCTGTTGCAGCCATTGTTTTGTTGAATTACTTGTATGCTTTGGGTCATTGTCCTGTTGCATCACCCATCCTCTGCGGAGCTTCAGTTGGCGGACAGATGGTCATACGTTTTCCTGCAAAATGTCTTGATAAACTCTAGAATTAATTTTCCCATCAATGACAACAATCCGTCTAGGCCCTGAGGCAGCAAAGCAGCCTCAAACCATGATGCTCCCTCCGCCATGTTTTACAGTGGGGATGAGGCTTTGATGTTGGTGTGCTGTGCCTTTTTTTCTCCACACATAGTGCTGTGTGTTCTTCCCAAACAACTCAATCTTGGTTTCATCTATCCACAGTATATTTTGCCAGTAGTGCTGTGGAACATCCAGGTGCTCTTTTGCAAACTTAAAACGTGCTGCAATATTCTTTTTGGACAGCAATGGCTTCCTCCGTGGTGTCCTCCATGTACTCCATTCTTGTTTAATGTTTTCCTTATTGTAGATGTGTCAACAAAAATGTTAGCATGTGCCAGAGATTTCTGTATGTATTTAGCTGACACCCTGGGATTCTTCTTTACCTCATGCAGCATTCTGCGCTGTGCTCTTGCAGTCATTTTTACAGGATGACCAAGCCTAGGGAGAGTAGCAACAGTGCTAAACTTTCTCCATTTGTAGACAGTCTGTCTTACCGTGGACACATGAACATCAAGGCTTTTGGAGATACTTTTGTAACCCTTTCCAGCTTCATGCAAGTCAACAATTCTTGATCGTAGGTCTTCTGAGAGCTCTTTTCTGCGAGGCATGGTTCACATCAGACAGTGCTTCTTGAAACCAGTAGACCCAAAACAGGTCTGTGTTTTTTAAGGGCAGGACAGCTGACAGCAACACATCCAATATCATCACACTGATTGGAGTCAAGGTTGGCTCACTCCTGGCTCCAATTAGCTCTGGGAGAA